TTTAGCTTTGAAGATGACTACCATCTACTTTCTTATATTTCTAGGGACACTAGGCATGCAATAATCCCTTCTTAACGTTTTCCAAATTCAGCTTGAACCTATTTACCTCACTACTTATCACCTTTTGACAATAATTGCAAACAATTTTATCTTTCTTATTTGGATCATATCTAACCCCATACTGCTGTGTAGGGTCTTCCTTAGATTGCGACATAGTTCAACTATTTTAAAATGCAAATGGTCAAAAATGAAGCTGGCAATCGACACGAAAATTAAGAACTAGGTATCTCGAGAAGTGTAGGCGGGTATTTCATGAAGTTATATTTATTTGTTGTTCATGCAAAATAGTCGTACTTCACTAATTGATCATCTATAAATTGATCATTTCAATCCATCACTCTAGCCAAGTCAGAATAATAAAAAAATGTCAATTGCCTACAATGAGGTCCAAATTGATAATTTAGGCATTTGATGGATGTACAACATATAAGTCAATTTTAAGTTCTAAAATTTTAACATCATGTGAAAGCACAATCATTTTAAGTTCCAAAATATCTCCTGAAAATTGGATTTTCTTACAAATAATCTTTCTTGAAAAAACTTTTTGCAGTTGAAAATTATATTTTGTCGTGAAAATCTATATTATAGTGCATTTATTCTCCACAAAATTGATATTTTTTATGAAAATTAATATTTCTCATTATATTATTTCCTGAATTTTAGAATTTTTCCTGAAAATTAGTTTTTTGTCTAGAAAATTAGTTTCTTTGTAGAAATGATTTTTTTTTTGTAATCAAAGGAAGACCTTGCATGGTAGCATGGGGTCTGATATGTCCCAAACAAGAAAGATAAAATTGTTTGCTATTACTGCCGAAAGGTAATAAGTAGTGGCGTAAATAGGTTCAAGCAACACTTGGCAGGGGATAGAGGAGCTTGCTGTGTGCCCTAGTGTGTCCTGAGCAACACAAGAATGCAGATGACAGCCATTCTTAAGGTTAACAAGGATAGAAAAATCGTGAAGCAAAAGATGGATGAGGAGATAGCCTATTTTTGTATGCCATTGAGTGAAATGGATCCAGAGCATCAATTCAACTACGACTTGGAGATGGCGACGATAATAGGCTTGGAGGATGTGCCCTAACAGGAAAGCGGGCTCGGTATGCTTGGTGGTTACAGCATGGGCATGTATGGAGGGCCCAGCTCGGCGCTGACCCAAACATATATGGAGGGGTTGGTGGAAGTATGTATCTAAGGCCTAGCTTGGGCTTGGATGGAGGGCCCAGTAAGGGATTATATGGGAGCCTAGAGGCACTTGATGCAAGTTTTGGTGCGATAGAGGGGTCATTTGGGCCAACCTCTTCCCATACCTCAGATGTTGAGGAAATTGCTTTTGGCTTGTCTAGGAGAGCTAGTGTCATAGAGGGCCCACTAGAGGTGGACACATTAGACCTATGCAGTCCATGGCTCAGGTCGCATAGACCCATTCTTTTCAAAGCCTAGGTCACAACAGATAAACCTTGGAGGCATGCTAAAAGGGACAGGACACGTAATGAAGAAATTTATGGGGAGATCCCATAAATGGTTCTACCATGGAGGGATCCCTTTTGATGCGGCCAATTGCCAATAATACGGGCCTATGGTCGCCACAATCCAGAAAGCGGGGCCCGACGTGAAGCCCCCTACAACATATGTGCTTAGTGGGGTGATCTTGGATGAAGAGGTGGAGGAAGTTAGGAAGTGGTTTAAGGAGTATAAGCAGTGTTGACCGAGAATAGGCATCACTCTCATAATTACAGTTGGTGGGACCAAGTTAATTAGATGGATTATCTTAAACTTTCCGGTCTATTGGCCACTGCATTAATATCATGTTAGAGAAGATCGTCAATATCAAATAGTGAATGAGATTAGTTTTAGCGAGGGCTGTGTCAAAATTTATATATAAGCACTTCAAAATCCTATTTATGTTTAGACAGCAGATTGAGAATAAGAAGCTAATCAGGCCCGCCATCACCTGCTTTGTGACATATTACTTGGTTGTAAACTGCATTCAGGAATCCCAAGCCACATTGATGAGGTTGTTCATCAGTGAAGAGTGGATAAAAGACTGCCTCTCGAAGTCTCGAAGTCATGTAAGGGATAAAAGTGGGGGGCACAATTACAGATAAGAGGTTGTGGTCTGGGTGTTCCAGTATAGAGTCTATGGACCCTTTGGTTGTTAGGAATGGTGGATGCTGATAAGAAAACCTGCATGAGCCTCATTTACAAAGTGATTGAGAGGGCCAAAGCAGCTATAAGGAGAAGTTTAGTTTTGTTCCTTAAGTGGTGGAGATCCTATAACGACATTAGAATGCACAATTGTGCCTCTCGATTCACTATGCAGGTAAATGTTAATTTATATACTTAGAATGTCAAATTTAAAATTTTTTGTTCACTATGCATTTAAATGGCCTTTTTCCATTTATGTATTTTCTAGGTTTCTACTTCAGTCCAAAATATTTCTATTTGATACTCAAACATCCCAACAAGGTCATGGACAAGGTCAGATACATTATTGGAAGGATGGAGAGAAGCCACCAAAACCAGTTAGCATCTGTGTGGGAGGTAAGGGTTAACATCTGGTGTAGGAATTTCATTGACGTAGTATATTTGTGAGGTGTAATTAAAGCATTGCAACAAAGTGTTTTTCTTAGCTTTCTCTATATAGGGATGTGGTAGGATCCTTCAAAACTAGACTTGCAAGGAGTTCTTAAAGCGATATGGATCCAAGTTAACTGCGAACTAATTCTTTACCTTTCACATCTTTAATCTTATGAAATTTTTTGGCTCTTACAATGCCGTTTGTACTCATTCCAACTGAATGGTGGGAGATACATGGTAGTGTTGTATTTCACTTAAGGAGGATAACAATCAAGGTGCTCTCCCAGACATGTTCTGCTATTGGGTTTGAGCGAAATTGGAGTACATTCCAGTGGTGTATATCCCTTGGAGGAATCGGCTCACTTCGGAGAGGCTTTATATGCTTGTTTACATTTATTACAATTTGAACCTCCAATAGCGACAAATAAGAAGGAAGATTGAGGACTACAACTCGATCGACCTAGATACAATATTTGTCACAGATAAGACAGAACAATCGGTGGTGGAGGAATTTGAGCCAGTGTTGTGCAAGAGAGCGTTCGTTGAGGTAATTGGTGAGGTAGATGAAGAAGGAAGGTGGTGAGGAGAAAGAAAGAGGAAGCCACCCCCCGAAATATCCACAATTCATTGGAGATGTAGGAGGAGTGGTGGAACTGTTGAAGGAGAGTGGGAAGAAGGTATTGGGGTAAATAAGAGAGATCATGATTATGAGGCTACCCTATCCCAACCAAGATATTCACGGCCCAAGACCCAGCAACAGGAGGGTGGGGGTGAGCATGACAATAGGGATGAGCATGAGGGATAGACAAGCTTTGGGGATTTTGGGTTAGGAACGCAACAAATTACTAACCTTGATGGATTCAGACATAGTCAGCCAACCACTAATGTGGATGATATGTTCATAGACTCAATCACTCTTGATGGATTCAGACATAGTCAGCCAACCACTAATGTGGATGATATGTTCATAGACTCAATCACTCAATCAATTGTCTCATCATTTCAATGAGTGGAGACAACATGATTAAGTTGAAGAACAATGTCGTCTTTCATTTTGGTATTAGGTTGTATTTTAAGAATTGTATGCTTTATTGTAGTCCATAGATTATATACTTCATCTATGATGATTGTATGCTCCTCCTTTATGAGATGTGAATTTAATGGTTAACATAACATACATTTACACAAGGAAGCAACATCTCAATATTCACATATTGATGTAAAATAATGAATGTCAATAATGCACTACCCCAATTAAGTTAACTTTACTCTAAAAAAATTATAATGCACTACCCCCATTTCTCTTTGGAATAATAAAAACGGTATTTATAATATTTTTAATAATGTTTTTGAATTTTAAGGCTGAGTCCGACCAATCCGGCCGATCCACCGATTTGGGCAGTTGATTAACCGATCTGGATTGGTTTTTGAGATGCCTGATCTGGGTCACTGATCCATTTTTTAAAACACTGCAATTTTGAACTAGGGATACTTGCAATAGGGGAGCACTAAAACGAGCTCAAAGCATTGTGGGAGGAGCTTTCCTTTAATTAACCTAATTAACCTTTCTCTTTGCATGTGTCAATGCTCATGTGGCAATGATGATTCAAGGCTCACATGTTGAATTATCTGAGAGTGAATTTTTTTTTTAGTTTCTCATTGTCTTGGTGAGTATTTGATTCGGTTAGGTTTTTCAGCTTCTTAATGATGATGCATGGCTCAAGATCATAGCTCGAGCTTTATCTCACTTGCACGTCAAAAATAAACGCCAGAAAGTGATGCGGAAGGTTCCTTCCTTAGTCCAGCCTAAGCCTTGCCTTTTCTAATTGAGGACAACCCTTTCATTCTTCTCTATAGGAACCCTTTCATATCTATGTTAAGGCAAGAGAACATAACTCCAAAATTAGGGGTGTAGGTTTCATAAAGTTTGCAAGAAGCAGTGGCCTTTGTCCATTATAACAGACTACTGTAGCCTTTTTTTCCAAATAAAAAAGAGACGATTGAATAGAAGCATTAGTTCAAAAATTCTTAAATGCTTGGGTAATGCTAGTTCAACTTTTTTTTGAATCAGAAAACTAATATGGCATCGTTTATTTCTTTTTCTTTGGTCTGCTCATCATAGGGTCCCATATCTTGAACCACAGATTTTAGATGACAGGTCTCTTGAGAACCATTTCCTTTTCAGTTAATGCCTGCTATCTTTTCTTTTTTTCTTTTTCCCAATTGGTGGCTCTTGTCATCAGTGTCTAATCCATTTACAAGTACGGTATGACCTTACTATTTCCATGTTTGTTGGATGACCCCTATTTATGTTCATTAATGCATGCCGGAGATTGACAATAAGTTGTTGGTCAAAATGGCAGCTTCATTGTGTCCTTTCTGAACAATACTCCAGATCCTGTAAAGGACAGTGTGGCGGTTCAAGAATTCCTTAACAATATGGAAGGCGCTTTTAGGGCTCATACCCTTTGGGCTGGTGCATCAGAGGAAGAGTTGGAGAGTGCTGGTGAGGTGAGCCTTTCTGAAGTACATACCTTCACTTCTTTGTTTTGAACAGATTCAGAATTTTCTACTTCAGTCAGTATGAACATATGTATGCAAGTGGATTCCCATTTTTTGATATCATGCATTATCTTATGAGCTTTAAAGTCTAGTTATTCAAAGTGATCTACTAAGGCTCATATAAATTGGCGATACCATAATGTCATTTACATTCACCTGGTATTGTGCACTGTGGGATTCGTGTTTGTTATTGTAGTTTTCAAACTTCTATCCTTTCATTAGCGTATTTCATAATTATTCTTGTTAAACTGCTCTCGGATATGTGTTATGATAAGTTATTGCATACTATGCCTTGTTTAATTAAAATGCCTTGCTAGTCACCAACTCTAGGGGAGAAATCCTATTTGAACCTTCCATCTGGATAACCATTAGACATGGAGCTCTTTCAATTAAAAAGAAAAAAGGGGGGAAAAAAAGCATAGATCTAGAAACTGCAATTGAAGTGCTGTGCTTGAATATCAAGTGGGAGATTTTGGGGCTGTACATAACCAGCCCAGGTTGCGGCTTCATTGATCTAGCGAAGGCCTAGTCGTAAACCAATGCTAGATTGATGAAGCCCACTATGTCCGAGATAAAGCTTGGCTCCCTACTCATGCCCTGTCCTAGGTACCCAAGTACAGCATACTCCCACACAAACTTAGAGTAATTCATAAACATGAAGCATGAGGACATACATGGGGAGAACGTAACAGAGCTTTTAATCGAAGACCAAGTGTCCAGGCATTTAAAGGTTACAAACCTCGACATTTTCCACTTGGCCTTTGAAGGCCGGTACAGTCTCATAGACTGACTAGCTGTGAATCACTTCTTACGTTTGTGATTAGCTCATCTACCCAAATGGCACCAAGAAAAAACTGGGGAAGGCTCACATCGCCTCTTTCATCCATGGAGCCCATAATTGGCCTTAAAACAACATCTGACCATGTCTCATATAGAGACTTAACCTAAATGCTTGGATTTTCACTGAATTCTGGCTAATAGCACACTAATCACACAGATCTCATAAACCATACAAGTCTGAACAGACACGACTGTCCAAGCCATTACATATCACATGTTTGGTTCTCATAGAACTCACACAGAGTCGCTCTGCCTGGGTTTGAACCTCGAACCATTGAGGTTCAACCAATTTTGGACTTTATCTCAGAATCGTCCAAGCCATGTAATTGATATGCGCCAACTATTCAAATATGTCCTCTTGTCCTCCAAGAAAACTTGGTTCCACCAAGCATAAAACCCTGAAGTACACTGTTCTGGTTGTATGGTGTAGATCACACAGTAATCCTCCTTGCATTTACACAGTGACCCCTAACATGGCATGCAGTTCATGGTCCCAACAGGTTTATGAGGATTCCATCAACTGGCTTGCAATATATCCAGTCTTCACATTATTGTTATGAGGCTCATGAGTTGAGTTGCCTAGCACCACACAAATGAGAGATCCATCTTGTGCTTGTGATCGACACCTTCTCAAAGACCAGGACTCATTTTTTCCCCTTTGGGCACATATCTTTGACTTGCTACAATTTAAAAAAACCACTGGAGTGACACACAGGCTCATAGTTTTCACAAAGAAAAAATGCCTTAGGACATTTCAAGATCTGAGAGGCATGAAATATTTTACAATAAAAAAAACCACCTCTTCAATGGCCTGTATCCCCGGAGCCTAAACTGCTTCATTCAGATCCTACATGTCAATGTAAATGAGCTGGCGAGGATTTTGGCAAAGAGCTAGGACTTAAACTGCTTTACTAACCTGTTGTCCATTTCTATCAAATTACTCCTACTGATCTTGACATTCCACGAATCACTTTATTTACATTACCATTACTTTTGTCAAGGTTTTGTGGAGATAGAGGTATCACCATCACAACAACAATATAAGCAAAAATTTCAATCTATGAAAACTACCTCACTAGGTTTTCTATCCACATTTGTCTGAATCCCTTGGGAATGTCCTAGAAAAGTGATATTTTCATCTTTCTCATTCGGTCTTTCTAGGAGAGTGATTTAGAAGATCAGTTTTCGACCTTGCCACTACCTTGTCACACAAAACTGCATTTTGTAGCAACTATTGAGGAGTACTTTCTAGGGAATTGGTCTCAGAGATGATGCTTCTTATCCACATTCTGGGTTGTACCTATGAGTTCCTATTCAACAGTGCAAGGAAATTAGATTAAATCTTATTTTTGAGAAAATGTTAAATTACAGGCCAGGCTTCTCAAAGTTTCTAGGATTTCAAACTCTGTTATCTATAAGGAAATACATTTGGCACATGTTACGTATGTTAGTCAACTGAAAAGACTAGGGTATATCTCTTTGAGGACCATTGAATTTACCTGGAGAGATAAAAAAGCCCCCTACTCGGAGCATTTTAATGAGGCCTCATAAAGACATACTACTCACAAGGCCCTATAAGTTTGAATGAGCGATAACCATTTTTCTTTTTTGAGACATGGGCCGTAGACCTTGAATCAGAACACCAAAGTATCCCATTGTGCATGCTACCATTTTTACATGGACGCCTACATGAGTATATATTCTGTACACAGCTTGGGTATTCTAAATAGCTCTTTTCAGGCCTACGTACCTATGATTACATCCTTAGTTTTCTGTTCTTATCACCTGTATTGTTTCAAGATTTTCCATTATAGAACCTGGGTTAGAAAACAAGTGGTCAGGTTTGTTCTATTTCACAGTTTATTTCGGCTACAGACATGATTATTGAATGCTCTTTCCATATTTACACTAGACCATGCGTAGGAGATTTGTTATACACCTCTTATACGATGTGCAACACATTGCATGGAGTCTGTCCTTGTGCAATGTGCCTTTCCTCCTGTACCTTGAGGATGCTAATAAGCTCATCCATTCTATGCCATAGTTGTTTGGATCGAGAGCAGGAACAGTATCGGGATTGGGATTGGGAGCGGGGGATCGTGAAATGCTACAAGACCCTATGGTTGGGAACGTTGCCATACAATGCACATGTTAGGGATCGAGATCCCCAAATGTTTGGGATCGAGATTCCAACTTTTTGGCCTACCTTTTGGGATCTTGATCCCAACTTTTTGGGGATCTTGTTACCAACCTTAAAGTATATGATAATCTAGGATTACTTTTTAAAGTCAGGATTTCATTATTGATAACACGCAGGCAATGGTTATGTTGCTAGTTAGCTATACAGAAAAAAAATCGTCAGTTTGGTTGTTGTCTTGTTCTTTAAGGTTGAGATCAAGATCCCTAACAGTAGGAATCGGGATCCCTGTCAGTGGGGTTCGAGATCCCAAAATTTAAAAATCGCTGTTCTGGGAGTGACAGAATCGAGATCCTAGAACGGATCGCCTACCAAAGTAGGAGATCCAGGTAACTATGTTCTATACAGTGGTTCCACAGTCTGTGGGAGATCCTTGAAATGCATTCTAAGTGATGGGAAGATGATGCTTCAGGTTACGATCCTAGAAATTTTGTTCTACTTGATGTCTGGACTCTTACACTTGACAAACCATGGTTCAACAAGGGCTGCATTTTCTCTGAAAATATGGTCTTCTCTTGGATATTTAGATTAGAGATCAAGGAATCCAAGGGTGAGAGAGGGCACCGAAATCCACCTAAAGTTACCCATGGATTTCCCCTCTCTCTTACTCCATGTAGAGGTTTGAAGCAATGAAAATATAGACTGATCTATCCTGATGCTACAAGTTGCTGTTTTTACACTTAATCGGGAGAGAGTTCATACCATCAGACTTCTCGCCCTTAAATGACTTAACATGGAGTTTTTAAAAGCCAAGACTGACTTATGTACACAGAAAACAATCCAAAAACAAGAGGGGATGAGTGGCAAACATATGGCTCAAATTTCATTGTTGGTGGTGTGACCAGCTGACACAGGATGCAACTATTGAATTTGAGCCAAAACTAGAATGAGCACTCTTTATTCATGCCTCTGTATCCCCCTGATCTTACAAGTGTGTTCCCTAAACTTTTTATGCATGAGACTAAACTAAAACACACAAACATGCTTGCCTCCGGAAACATTGCTATCACGCCCACAAACATGTGCTCCAAAAAAGGGTAATCCTGCAGGAAAATTAACAAACCAAATTTTGCCTAGGGTCACCCCCTAGGACTTCTACAACCCATTGAGTCTCCCTGTATCAATGGCTCGCCATCTGGGCTCTAAGGTTCCTTCCTTTCACTTGGTTTTGGGTGAAATGTTGCTGATAAGGTGTTGTACTTTGCAGGCACTTCTTCCCCTTAAGATCTCTCACACAAAGTAGACTGGAAGAGCACTATATTCCTCTCACTAAACCCATAATAAAACTTATGCCTCTCACAAACCCCATAATAAAATTTATGCTTCACCTTCTCTCTTTTTCTCTCACCAAAACCTCTAGGAGAAATACATACCGCTCTGTTGTGGGTGACGAAATAGAGTTTTATGTTATAGCGTCTCTTCTCTCTCTACTTAGATCTCTCAAACAGCAAGGTGGAAAAATCACAGACCCTAGCGCTAACTCACATGCACTTCCCCTTGCTCTCCATTTTCTCTCACACAACTCAAACCTTGATTTCTGAAGTCCCCCTCTCCATTTTTTCAACCTACAGCATGACCTAACCCTAGGTTTCTTAACATCGAGTTCTCCCTAAGAGTTAGAGACTCATCTATGCCATAAATGTTTGGGCTACCCTTTATATATGGTATTCTAGGGGTAAAGTGGATATAAAGGAATCTTGTCTTCTAATTCAAATGGGAAATTCATGTTGTGAGAGGGCTAATCCTATCCATCCAATCCTTGTCCAGCAATCATGAATCAAGGTGGGATAGTGCACCATTATCTATAGAGGACTCGTAGTTCTAAAACTTTTTTGGCTCTATTTAGAGTTTCTTTAGAACCTTCCAAGGAAACTTTCATTTCTAATTGGATTCTCATAACTGCAATTAGAAATAGATCTCCTTCCAA